AAGTTCTCAACTATAATTATGAAGTTTTTTATTTCACCTTCAATGCCATCAGAACTTCTATCATGTGCTTCAAAACTCTTTTATTAGGTACATATATATTTAACATTGTCACTTTTTGGGTACTTGAGCCCTTTATAACTATTAATGTGCCTCTTACTGTTTATAATAGTCCTTGTTCTGAAGTCTATTTTGTTCACTATTAATATAATGACTCCAGATTTATATTTTTTAGTGTTCACATAACATCTTTTTTGATCCTTTTATTTTTAACCTATCTGTCTTATATTTAAAGTTTATATACAGTGTAGAGTTTTGTTTTGTTTTGTTTTGTTTTGTTTTGTTTTGTTTTGTTTAACCAAATCCAACACTCTGTTTCCTTTCTCTAGGTTCAGTAGGAATTTACCAGTACTCAGTAGGTAATACAATCCCTCCCCTCACACTTACATGCCACACAAATCAAGGCTATTGATCACCAGGTGGAATTCCTTGCCCCCATACCATACAGTAATTTCTGTCCCTTCCCTGCAGTGCCCCACAAGGAGACTTTTTGTAGACGCTCACAAACATTCCTGTGAACTCATGGTGGTAGAGTTCATGAAGAAATGTCTGTGAGAGATACGGACTCCCTTATTTGTAGTCCCCTTTTGGCCTCAACCTTTTTAGAATGGGCCAACTTGAGCTTATATTTTTCAATAAAAGCAAAAATTAAAATAGTACATGACCGTAGCAAAAAGTGAAATAGATAAAACAGAAAAGTGTGACCCTTTAAAATCCTTAGAATATCACTCCCCAGACATAATAATTTCCATTAACTGTCTGCCTTCCAGTCTTGCTCTGTGTGACAAGAACAGAATTCTCAAACACATCATCCCAGGCCAGACAAATGAATACGAAGTAGTCTAAAATAACAAATGGTTATATAGAAATAAACATAAACAAACCTATAAATCAAGTCTGGTGAGGGCCTACCCCTCTCATACACTTATGGGGTACAGCATGTGATTTGGGGCTAAACCATTGGTACATCATTCTCTTCCTGGTCACAATGTTGGTTCAACAAGACTCTTAGAGAGCCAGTTCAGAGTTCTAAGGAGACTAAATCTAACTCATTCTCATAGGTATTAAAATTGAAAGACTAAGGCCCTTCTTGGTGGTTAAAGCACAGCACTTCTTAGCTAAAGCTGCTTCAGCACTAGTTTGATCCCCCACCCAGGGAGGTGACCCATATGACATGGAAGTCTCCTGATCTGCCCACTGTTCCCCTCAGCAGTGTATTTCATTGATCTACCTGTTCTGCTCCCCCACTCTGTGTCTGATGAATCCTCTCACAGTCCCTGTATCTCTGGCCTGTACCCCAGTTCTTGTATGCATAAATAAATAAATCTTTAAAAAAATAAAATAAAATTGAAAGATTAAGAAAAGCCTTGACCCACCCTGTCCAACTTGGTTCCCAGAAGCCACATGTACACAGCCACTGAGCACTTGAAATGGGACTCCTAAAAACTGAGATGCTCTAGAAGAGTAAAAGACACACTGGCTTTCACATACTCAGTATGGAAATAGAATGTAAACTTTTTCACGAATAATTTTTTTGGCTACATATTGAAGTAAAGTGTGTGGCTCCCAGTTATTGAACAGCCCTGGTCTAGAACACTGAACCCCTGAAAATCAAGCCCCACCAGTGGACTTTCCAGAATGTGAGGTAGGGCTGACTTGGCTTCCTGGCAGACACCATGGACAGTCATACTATATGTCCATTGGACAACAGACCACATACTTCCATCGATGACTAAGAGAGTAGACAGATTGGTACAGAGTATTCCACTTGGCGAAAGTCAAATAACTTTTTTCCTTTAACACCTTAGTGTGTGTCTAGAATGTGGCACCACCTCTATTGTTGATGTTCTTCCTTGTTTCACATACTTTACCTTCTGCCTGAGAACCTCTGTCCTCTCTTCACTTAACTGCTCCCTTGAGTTGCAATTTAAATGCCATCTCCTCAAAACTGAGTTCCCTGATCACTCAGTTTAAAGTAGGTCATCCTGTTAATTGCCTCTCAAGCACCTCATCTTCTCTGTCCAAAATATGTATGTCAGTTTCTCTAGTTATCTGCTTGGTAGCTTCTTTCCTTCCTTCTCCCTACCATGTATTAGTCCAAGGCACAGCTATGTGGCTTTATTCTTCTATCCCCACCACCCAAAACAGTGACTGACACATAGAGGTGCTTGATAAACATGTGCTAAAAGCCAGGAAGGGATGTGAAAGTGGGCAGGAGAAAGAAGGAGGCCAGGGGAGGTGAAGGAATGTGATGGGGAAACTGGATAATCCAGAGTAAACTAAACCTGGGAGAGCTTCTTCATGATTCACACTGCCTAGTGCAAACACAAAGAAAAGGTGTGAGCTGACAAACAATAGGTCTAGAAAGAGGAGTCTGGAAGTCAGTGGTTCCCTGGACCTGCCCTCAGGCATAAAAGTCAAAGATCAGAGATGCAAATGGAAAACCTACAAAAAGAATGAAGAGTCATGGAAGCTTTTGTCTTCTGTCAATGACAACCTGGTTCTTAGACACATTCTTACAAACTTAATACAAAAAGAGGGAAATGGATTCAGGCTTCACTGTAAGAGTGAGTACTCACCTGGCACGTCTTAAGACTGAGGACCTCTGTTTCAAGGAACGTCTCACAAACCTGTCATATGCCAGAGGTCTTTCTAGTTCCATAAAAACAGGGAATATATACCATTTTCCTGTTCACATTCTTGTTCTTACATGAGATCTTTACTACTTCCTTGTTGGCTTACTCATTTTTTTGCACTATAGAGGGAGGAGGATCTGTTACTGAAACTCTTTAGGAATGACAGGTAATTGTCTCTTAATTATTGCCCCGGAATAACGTGAGAAGGACTCGTGTTAAATGAAACATCTCTTCATTTTATGTTAATGTAATACACAATTTTAATTCATTAATTTTATGATGGAAAAGTTGACAGATACAGAATAATTTGTGTAATGTGCATTATTATATAAAATATAAGGGAGAAAAAAAAATAAGGGAGAGATGACATTTTTGAAACCAGCACCCAATTTAAGATTTATAACATTACCTGTGAAGCCCTTTGTGTGACTTTCCCTGCTTTCATCTTATTTATTTAAAGCATGGAAACTGCTTTCTCAGAAAACTCCAGGATGAGAATTTAAGAGGGGATTTGGTGCTGTCCACCAGCCAGGTGCTGACGAGGCCGGCATAAGATGGGGAGGGCCACCATCTCTGGGATGAAGTGCTTCTCTCCTTTCCCTTTGATCTTTCTTCCTTCCTCCTTTATTTTTTTTTTTTTTTAAAGTAATTGCTACACTTTGCTAGAAGGATTGGGAAGTCTACCAATACAGGTAGCAGGTACAGGACCATACAATTCTGTCTTTCCTTTTCTAATGGATAGTTTCTATTAGGGTTTTTTTTTTTTATTGTTTTTGTTTTCAATCAAATCAGTCATGTACTTAAAAACCAAACATCAGAATCTTTGCACTAGCAATCTTTGATTTATCACAGAAACACACAGCTTCATCTGGAATCTGGAAAATACCTTACAGATTGAACAATCTTCTTATTTGGGAGTGAAAAAAAAACAAGGTATAGGACATTCTCAAGGTTATTCAGCTAAGTGCATATCTGCAGTTTCCAAATCATCTGTATGTGCCATTGCTCAATGCTCATCATTGAGAGATTTTCATTACTAAAAATTCAATCACATTATTAACCATTTTATTTTAGACTAAAGTACCTCACCTAAAGTATCAGCTTTTTATTTAAAAAATATTAATAAAGATGATAGCTGAGCCATATATATAAGAAAATATATATTAATACCAATGAAAAATTATTTTATTCATAACAGCATTTCTGATACACTACTTCATATACTACATTTTTTGCTCTTATTTCTACTTCTAATAAAATATGTAGCTGAGCTTTAAATATGTAGACACTTCAGCATACTTTTAAATGCTGAAAGTAATCATCACTGACTTTTTTTCTCATATCAGGAACATATAGAATGCTATATTCAATTAGTTAACAAAAAAACCCTGAATTCTCACTAGGTGTCTGTCACTATTTCAGACTTCTCAGCCTGGTTTCAATACTCTGGAGTCTTCCCCCAGACAAACATGCCAATCTTACTTCTTGATGCCCACTCCACCCTACATCCAATCTACTCTGCTCACATAGGAATTATTAATATTATTTGAGTAACCTATTTATTTTCCCAGCTAGTCCAGTCACCTTTGGAAAACAGAATCTATCTGAGATCCATTTTAGAACCGTACAATTCTCAATCTCTACAATTACCATAATACAAATTGGTAACAATTTTGGCATCTTAAAACTACTGGCTGCGGATTTTATGTTTATGCTGAAGAATTCAAGGAAGTCAGAGCTTCTTAATGATATGTAAAATATTTGACTGAAGAGTAATTTTCTAGTTGCAAAGCAAAGATAATAAGGAAGCAGTCCAAGTATACTGCAGATGCATGTGTAAACAAATTATGGGATAGCCTTACAATGGATTGCTTTTCAGTCTAGAAAAGGAAGGACATTCTGTCCCATACCACAACAGAGATGAACCTTGAAAATATTACGTCAAGTGAAATAAGTCAGTCAAAAAGGACAAGCACTGCATGGTTCCACTTGTATGAATTTCCTAAGAACAGTCAATTTCACAGAGGCAGAAGTAGAATCAGTTGCCAGGGGTGGGGATGAGGAGGAATGAGGGCTACTTTTTAATGGCTCAGGGCTTCTCCTTGGGAAGATGAATGCCTTGTGGAGCTGGATGGAGGCACTGGTTGTACTACCAGTACATATGCACCTGACGCCGCAGAACCCATACTGGAAAACTGTTAAAACGGCAAAGATCATGTAATGTTTATTTTATTACAATTCTAAAAATTAAAAAAGCAAAGAAACTGAGTCATGCAAATATTTTTTCAGTGTTAAAATTTTTAATACCTTTGATTAATATATCACAATTTTAACCAAGGCCATCTTCTCAGGCACAGCCACTCAGGGTCACCTAAGGAAAAGACAGAGTTGACTTTTTACTGAAAAGTCTCTGGGAGCATTTTCAATAGACTCATTCTACTCTGAGACTACTATGTCCCCTGAGATTTTCATAATCAGGAATTACACACAGCTGATTAATTTAAAAGGTGTTCCTAAGATTTTGATGACTGTTCTTAATCAAAGCCATGGATTGGCACAGATCCATAATGTTTTCTTTTATGATTCTGAGTAGAACACTAACTATCTTTCCCCTCTATGCCCACAGGAAAAATCACTGTATTGCAAGTTACTATTGAAGTTGAGAAACCACCTAGGAAGAATTTATTTTCCCAAGGTAAAACTTAGCATGTATAACATACTAATACAAACTGTAAATAACAGGGGGACTGGCAGCAAGGGGAAAGGGTAAGTGGTCACTCTCTGTATTTCCTAACCAGCTTTCCATAAACCTAAATCTGCTCTAAAAATAAAGTGTGTCAATTAAAAAAATAAAACTCTGTATTTTAAATTCTTGGAGTTTTTGTTATAGCAAATGATCTTATTTGGTTCATATAAATAAAAGAGGTGCTTTCTTAACAAGATAATATAGTCTCTGTTTAAGCATGTAATAGAGGTGGCCATTTACATAAGGATATTTGTTAGCCAGTGAGCTTCAAATCATATCGGAACATCATGGGAGGAAAAGGAAATAGCATTAGGATGGAATCTACAAGTTATAATCCCCTCGTTTCTGCTCCTCATTGCACTGGAAACTCCATATTACAAATACATGACTTTGCTTTTGTCTTGCCACTTGGAGACTACAGACAGACACACTGGAGGCCTTAAACACAGAGGTAATTAAGTACTGGAAGAAGGACAAGTGGATGGTGGGCTTCGGGGTGTGGAATCTGCAGTAAGTTGGTGGCAGAGCCACAGCCGGCATTTGGTTCTTCTGAAGCACAGCCTCGGTTACTGTCCACATGACACTGTGTTTTTAAAATTCCCAGCCTAAAGGATATTTTATAACTGAGCAATGAATGAATGACCAGTCCAATTTCCTTGACTATTTTCTTGCTACATCCACTTTCAGAGTGAAAAAGAAAGGAAGATGAGGAAAAAGAGAAAACAGAAGAATGAAGCAGATGAAGGAGAAAAAGAATAATAAGGAGAAAGAAATTGGAGAGAAGGAGAAAAGAACAGCAGTGAATCGACACTGGAAGTGAGTCCTGCATGCACAGAAACAGGCCTCTGGCACAGGCCCCCGGGTGCTGCAGACACTCCTGCTGCTGACGTGTTGGAACCCAGGAATTCTTGGCCCTTAAACTAGGTGCCAAGCTCAACATGACATCCTGGCCCCTGGCACAGCTGAATTACATAACTGGGACTCTACCCTGAGAGGGGACTTCAGATGGAGGACTGCTCAGGGGTGGGTCTATAAGCACAGCACAGGGCTACCAGGAAGATCCAGACCACCCAGGATGGGACAGTGGCACCCTGGCAGCCTTGCACATCTTCATCTCACCCTCAGATTCTCTAGGACAGGTATGTCACAGGCTGTGTGCAGTATTTAAAGGTTCCCTGGGAGCCAAAGTATTTTGGCAAAGTCTGTATTTACTGACTGCAGATATATTGGCTCCACTTGTATCCTAGAGTCAGTGTTAAATCCCCAAGAACTCATTAGTAGTTTCTAGCACACATACAAGTCCAGAAAGCCTTTGTTTTGCTGATTAGGGAGGCTGCATAAATTTTTAACTGATTATTAAGAAATAAATGCCAACCTTTGCAGAAAAATACATTTCTCTCTGTCTCTGACTGAATACCAAGGAGGCCTCAGGGCCTTCACCTCTGCATGGGCCCTGGTTCCACCCGGGCTGTGGGGCCAACTCCACCCCTGCAGCTGTTTTCAAGGGCAGTTCACGCATCATCAGAGGTCCTGAGTCTCTGAGCAGGAGGTCATGGTCCTTCTGAGTCAAAACCCACAGAGAACACAAGTCTTCCTGGGAGCCTGCGGTACCACCTCATGCAGAATTTTGAAAACCATTATACCATGGTCATGGAATTCAGTTAGGCCTGAGTTTGAATTCCAGCTAGCTGTGGCCTACAGCGAATTGCTTCCTCTTTCCAAGTCTGGGTTTCCTCCTTTGAGAGCTGGAATTAATAATAGCAACTACCCCTCCGGTGGTGTAAGGATTAAACAGACAATGCTCCAAAGAATCCAGGAGAGCTCTGGGTACATCAAGCTCAGTAAATGGCAGCCATTGTTACTATTATTCAGGAGTTTTTCTCTCAGCTTCTAGGTTTTTTTTTTTCCTCTAGTGTTTCCATGAGTGGAAAATCAAGGCTAAGGATGCTGAACTGAAAATTAAAGGAGAAGCTAATCTTTAGGGGTGTGTTTTTTTTATATATATAATGTTGATTTTTTAATAATTTTAAATTATATATGTGTGCATATATATATATATATATATATATATATATATATATATATACATCATTCTTCATTTTGTACATGTTTTTCATCTCAGTTGAAATTCACTCATGTGCCATCACCATAATCTTAGGGGCATATTTATAGGACATACCATATTTGTAGAAGGTGTTTATATATTTTATATTTTATTCTCACCATAGTCTTAGGGGCATATTTATAGGACATACCATATTTGTAGAAGGTGTTTATATATTTTATATTTTATTCTCACAGCAATGTTAATTGGCATGGTAGCCACAGGCTACCATAAACCCTATTCTACAGAAGGCTGAAAGCAGCCCAAAGAAGTCAAAATACTGACCTTGGGGAGGTGGGGAGGGAGAAAAGCCTGCGCTTGGTAGACTGAGGTGGGGAGGGAGGTCAGAGTGGTTTGGGAAAAATTGTGGCAGGAAGGCAAGAGAATATTAAGAAGTGTCTCTGTGGGTTACGAATTGGTTCTCTTTAATGTTCTTTCAGAGATGCAAGTTAAGATTGGAATTCCTTTTTAATTAGTAGCTCCATTGTTGTTCTGAGACCACCTCAGTTCAGAGGGCATAGTTAAGTAGGAGAGAAGCACTTTCACCAAAACTGTAAGCCCGTCTCCTGCAACAGCAAAAACTCATATTAAACCAACCGGGACAAATGACCTCACTGCATGAAGCATGGCGACCAGCGATGCAGGCCACACCTCAGACAGGGCCAGGAGCCAGTGGAGGCCCCAGAGATTCAGCCTCACTTAAACCACAGCAATCCACCCCCACGCTGCTCCCAGGGCACAGTCCTTTTTGTTCTTTCAATTTTTTCCCTCTTTAATAATGAATGTGTGACTCAGAGGTTTAATGAGTTACCAAGAGAAGTTAACCAGAAGGGAAGCCCATTGAGTAAACGCATAATTAAAACTGCAAATGGACAGAGGAATACAATCATTGTGGGAGGGGGGCACATATGGGAGTGACGGGGGGTTGGGGGCTATACAGGGCCTTTGGGACTTAAATGATTTCTGGTGGCAATTTGGAAACTAAAGGAGAATTGGGAGCCTTTCCACAGTCACAAGGACAAAGAGGCTGCCTGGGACTTTGTCTTTCCTCTCCAAATGACCTAGACTGGTAGCCAGGAGTCACCTCCAACAGCAAAGACTGAATTCACCAAGGGAGTCATTACCCCTTTGGTGCTAACACTGCAAGGCTCTTGTGTCAATGGCTTCCCAGGTCTGGATAAATTTCCTGTGGGAAATGATAACAGTTGAGAAAGTGAAAAGCAAAGGCAGCCCCACACTGGATTTTTTTCTCGGTAGCCCAAGCCTGGACCTATTCCGCATCTGCCGAGGCCGGCCTGGGAGAAAGGCTGAGAAAGAGAACGCACACTGCCCACAAGAGAGCAAGGTTGGATCCCCACGCTCACAGCAGCCACAGGCCACCTGCAGCGACAGCCCACTTGCAGAAGGTCAGGATTGGAAACGGACAGTGTGGGGGCAAGTTCTTAGGAGACATTCAGGCTAATGGTAAGCAAGAGCCATCACACTTACAGTGTCAGGATTCTGTTAAATGGCAGCAACAGAGAGCCCATTCAGCCTAGGAGTCTGTTCCAGGAGTTTCTGTAACTACAGCCACTCCAGGTCAGCCCTGCCAATAAACCAGCTATGTAAATTCACGTCAAATGCCCAATTCTTTAACTATGCTGACAAGTGTGCTGGTTTTCCAGGAGCTAGCCTCTCTTCCTGCCCAGAAGATAGAAACAGCTGCTCTGGCCAGGTAGGAAGGGTCTGTGAACTCAGAAGCATTTTCACTAATGGGAATGAAAAGGTGTTCCCCAAAGGAACACCTGGGAGTAAAAAGTCACTTTTAACTTTTGTTTGAATATAAGCTTGGATAGTTTTAAAACAGCCCTGGAAACAGATCATTAAAACTAGAATATGAACCAGGAAGGAACAGAGGAGGAAGGTACCCTGCTTTGGGATCAGTCATTTCCATACATTCTCAAACTCCTTTCTCAGTGCTCAGGGCTGAGGAGGAGCGAATCACTGGAGGGATCTAAAAAGCCTCGTAAGAGGTGTAGCCTAAAACTTTCTTTTAGTCAATCCTGTATGTTTATTTTTTAAAGCAAAACTATACCTACATATGAACACACACATTAGAAGGGAAATTAACGATACAGCATGATAGAATTCAGTGGTTTTTCATCTTTACTCAATAAAAAATGTAGTTATTTACATTTCTACCCTACTTTGTGAAAACCTACCTCCACTAATATGTAAGCCAGTAGAAATAAAATTTAAAAGAATGGTCCTGTGTCCCAAGAAAATAAAAGTTTCATCAAAATAATTTTTGGGCATATAAATTTTTAACAGTTCAAATAAAGTGGACTAGAATCCAAATTGCTATTTTAATTCTGATGCAATCTCCAAGTAGGCATTAATTCCTTAACACTGCTAAATAAGTTAGTGTTAGCTCCTCATAAGGAAATGTCAATAAACAGCAGGAAACACACTGAACCACCCTTAGCTTGACACAGCAAAAGGGGGAAGACTCTGAAGCCAACCCACTTGCGAACAAGTCCTG